CAGCCCAGCTCCAGGTTGAGCTGTTGTTCAGCATCTTAGCTGTGGAGGGCAGTGTCACTGGCCCTCATATGTGGGATCCGAACCGGAGCCCTCTGGTGTCCCAAGCCAGTTCTTAACCATCGCGCCACTCGGCCGGCCCACGGAATAATTTTTTTTGAATAAAGATTTATTGACAATTGGCTTCTTCTTCTTCTCCTTCTGCTTCTCCTTCTCCTTCTCCTTCTCCTTCTCCTTCTCTTTCTTCTTTCTTCTTCTAAATATTTCAGTTCGGCAGAAAGTTCTGGCGAGAGGGAACCACGAGTTAGTATTGCCAGGAAAAGGAACATTCAAGTTAACTCTCCAGTTGCCCACGGCCCCAGATGACGTCCATGATGTCTCTGAGAGGAAAACTCCAACAAAGGTATGTAAAGGAGTGAGTAAAAAGGAAGTAAGGTGTTCTCCCAAGGTGTCTGGGATGGGAAGCACAATGAGGAAAATCTAGTGGAATGAAAAGTATAAATCAATCTGGGGTGAGAAAAGCAACTTACAGATATGGAGGGAGTGAGAGTAGGGGAGGGGAGGTATGGAATCATGAAGGATTTTGTTTGATATTAGACACTTGGAAAAGTCAAGATTTGGGCGTTACCATAAGGGTGGTTTGAGATGTGAAATTCTGGGTCTGTTTGTCCTGGGTGCTCTTAACCTGGAACTTGCTGATTTGTTTTATTTTTACATTATTTTAAAGGGACAGTGATCCATGCTGCATGTACTAAGTATTTCCTCAGCTGTAAAACGGTTTAGGAATAGTATCTATTAATACTTTTTTGGATTGTTGGATTGTTGTGAAGATTAGATGAGGCAACCTCTGTAAAGCAAATGACACAATGCTTGTTCATAGGAAACATTCAATAAATGTTAAATGGGGGAAAGATGTAAGTCTTACCCCATACCCCAGACACTTAGCATTCATTGGGGTTTCGGTTACTTGTGACTCACTTTTACCAGTGTGCTGAGTAAATGGAGGTGCCACTACACATTCGGTGCATTCAACAGCATCATTGCCAGGGCTTTTCATGATTGTTTCTATTGACCCTACGTCTCCAGGCTGTTCCCTGGCACATTTTTTAATGTAAAGAATTTATTAGTAATTTATTAATGCTACTTTATTGTTTGGATTTTAGGAATCCAAGACCAAAGAACTTGCCAAAGCACCAGGTAAGATCTCAGTTGAGATGATTGGCCTTCACCAGGCAGTTTTGCTTTTATTAAAGATGGCACTTGTGGACATCATCCTTATCTTCTTGACTTCATAAGGCAGGGTTTGCTCAGCTTGGAGATGCCTTGAGCTGTACCATCTATGTACTCTCAGCCAGCTATGCAGAGGGTGAACACTGGGGGAGCCTCTTGAGTTGTAAGGCTCAGGTCAGAAGGATGGGAACAGCTTTTTCTGTGGGGACTGGGAGACGACACCTTGCAATTGAGGGGAGGGCAACGAGGTACCTGGAAAGTGGTGATGAACTGACCTTTAGAGCCCCTGTGCCCAACCTGCCATTGAGAAGCAAGGACATTACGTATCACGGGTGCCGTGTGTGGCTATGTCAATTTCTGAGCACTGGGTGTAGAAAGTGCTGCTCTCTGGAGCCACAACAGGAAGGTGTAGTTTTGCTGTGTATGAAAGCATCTGGGTGCTGCGTTTAGGATGGGGGTGCAGCCCTCCAGACCAGCAGCACCTCTTCTGGTCCCATCTGCTGTAGGAAACAGCCTGACACCTAGTTGCTGTTGTGGACTCTGCAGCTTAACTAGTGTCTGGGTGTTGGCCTATAGTACCACCTGACATTTACTAAAGAAGTGACTACGTAGTTTTCCTGGCTAAACATGCTGTTATAAAGGGGAGGAAATGATGAACTGTATTGAATGGCTGAGCAAGAGAGAGAAAGTGATACATATGCCCAGATCTTAGGGAAAAGGAATTCTAAAAAGTATATAAATATTGTCCTCTAAAGTTGAAATTGTCTTGAGAACATGTTCTGATTTTTGCAATTTTCTCTTTTTGAAAATGGCACTAGGATAAGAACTGCCTTACTTGATAAAATGACTGAATAATTATATATATATATATATATATATATATATATATATTATATGCTTATTTGTTTTATTTTTACATTGTATGTATATACACTGTGTGTGTGTGTGTGTGTGTGTATCTAGCATGCATGTACTGTTAAACTGTAGAATCTAGTATGCATGGTTTCCTTAACATGGTTCTTATGGGATAGAATTTTTGTTGTTGTTGTTGTCTCTTTAGAGTAATTCCTGCTTTCCATTCTTCAGATATCGGACTGGCTCACCCACCTCCCATTGTTCATTGTGACTCTCTAAATCCTTATCTATTTCTTAGAAGATGCCTTATGTGCTGCACCCTTAAGCTCAATTTTAACCAGGAAGTGGTTTTATTTTTGTATATTTATATCTGTACCATTTCCTGCATCTAGAATTTAATCAAATCTGTGTTTCTTACACAGACTTAGACATAGATTTTACCCTAACTCTGTCTTAACTGATTTGTTAGCACTGCTTCAGATTTCCTTAAAACCCCAAGTGTATGTATTCTCAGGGAGAGCCATCCAACCCCACTCCACCAATGAACTTTTCATTGTCCTGGAAATTTTAGACCCATTTACTAGCCTGTTTTTACCTGACCTTAACTCTAATGATAGTAACCAGCCAGGAAGTTGGGTAGTCTTTGACAAGATACTTAAGTTGACCCTTTTAAGAGATGGGAGAGCAGGTCCTTTGTTTAATGGTTGCTCCACACTGAGTCCTGACAATAGCTCTAAGGCTCTTGAAATTAATTAGAATGGTGTAGACAATTTTCAGAGCTGAGCAAACTGAGGATGGAGGGTGATTCTCTAATAGGTCCCATATCTCAGGGATGAGGAGATCAGAGAATGCTGCACCACGAATGCACTAGGCATGCCTGAAACCCAGAGCTTCAAGTTAAAGATAGACATGCAGTTGACAGAGCAGAGAAAGGTCTATCAAGGCACACACCAGCATCAGGGGATGCGAGCACTACCGCAATGTCCTGTTCCAGGCTAAGCTGAGTTGGGTTGGGCCTGAAAGTTAGAAACCAGCAAGTGGAAGAACCAGAAGTGAAGTATGAGCAGGAGCAGAGAAATACTGGTCACTTGTGGTCAGCAAATTCTGTTTTTTCCAAGCCTGTATTTTTAGCCTGAACTCTCTTCTAAATTCCAGACCTTGTGTCTGACCTTCCTGTTGGAAAATATGTTAGAGCCAATACGTTTGAAGCCACCTGTGTCATCTGCCTCCCCAAACCAGTGCCCTCCTCTGGCTTCTTTATTTTTCATGAAGTACACAGCCAGTCTTCCCATCACCTACTAGAAATTTCAGTCATTTCTCCTCTTTAAGCTTTCACATATATTGGTCACAGAAATGTATCAATTTTTTTTAAAGATTTTATTGCGGAATTGGGGGAGGGGAACAACATTGGGGAATCGGGAAAGGGGAACAGACAAGTGGCTGTCTTTTTGTTCTTCAGTCTAGTTGTGGAGGATGTCGCTTCACTGACCCATGTTGGTATTATCATTGTGCTCTTCCTGGGTGAGGCAGCTCACCAGCCATTGGACAGTTGCTCATGGCGGCTCACAGCAGCTCACACCAACTGCCGGTCACTCACGGTAGCTCACGGCAGCCCACTGCAGCAGGGGCTGCAGCCTACGCCACTGCTGGCGACTCACGGTGCCCAGCTCCAGGTCAAGCTGTTGTTCACCATCTTAGCTGTAGAGGGCAGTGTCACTGGCCCTCATGTGGGATAAAAACCGGGGCCCTGCTGCTCAGAGCTGGCGTTCCAAGCCAACTCTTAACCAATGTGCCACTTGGCAGGCCCTGAAATGTATCAATTTAAAAAACAATTTTCCTTATCCATCCCTTCTTCACCCCAGACTCCTATTATTACCTCACAAATCCAGGATGGCAGGAACACCCTGCTTAGTCTCTCTCTATCTGATGTCCTTCTCCTTAAATCTGATTAGTTCTTTGTACTGTTGCTGGATATCGCATCATCCTTTTCACAGAAACATTCCCTGACTTACTCTTACCACCAATGGCAAGATAAAGTCCAAACCACATTCTGGATGAACCTTTATTGGCCACATCACGATTTTCTAAATAGTTTGGTGCAGTCATGACACTCTGCCTGTACTTCTGTTGCTCACAATACTCTCTACCCCACTTTTCTATACCTTTCAAGATCTACTGAGCTTCCTCCTCTTCTCTAAAGCCTTTCCAAGCCAACCCAGTCCCTTTATCTCTTTCTCATGGAATCTTGGCTGGATGGTTGATGCTCTTTATTTGGCCGTTAACCAGGCTTCCCTTGTGAAGAAGCTTTTTTTTTTTTCTTAAAGATTTTATTGGGGAATTGGGGGAAGGGAATAGCATTGGGGAATCGGGGAAGGGGAACAGACAAGTGGCTGTCCTTTTCTTTTTCAGTCTAGTTGTGGAGGATGTTGCTTCTGGCCCATGTTGGTACTATCATTGTGCGCTTTCTGGGTGAGGCAGTTGGTCGCCGGCCACTGGATGGCGGCTCACAGCGGCTCATGCCAGCTGCCAGTCCCTGACGGTAGCTTATGGCAGCCCACTGCAGCCCCACTGTAGCCTACACCGTCACTGCAGTCCACAGCAGCCCAGCTCCAGGTTGAGCTGTTGTTCACCATCTTAGCTGTAGAGGGTGCAGCGTCACTGGCCCTCATGTGGGATCTGAACCGGTGGCCCTGCTGCTCAGATCTGGTGCTCCCAAACCAACTCTTAACCAACGCACCACACAGCCGGCCCTGAAGAAGCTTTTAATAGTCATGGGATTATAAAACTACATTGCTGGAAAGGCTCTTAACATTTGCTTAGTCCAATAGTCTCATTTTATCATTAAGAGATGTGCCTGAGGTCACATGGCTAAAGAATGGTGGAGTCAGGGGTTGAACTCATATAACCTCACCCCCAGCCCAGTAGTTGTTTTGGTTTGTCATCTCTGTCTCATTGAGTGCTTGTTTATGTTGTTATTCAATCCTTAAGCTATTTTTTATTTGGCATGAGTGTGTGTGCATGGTGCCACATCCAGCACATAGGAGGAGTATTTGTCAGAGTGACCTAACTGTTGTAACAAACAGCCCCCCACATCACAGTTCAGTGAAGTAGGCAACTAGGGTCATGTGAGGTCTAGACCTCTAAACGCAGTCATTCAGGAATCCAGGCTCCTTCCATCTTTTGATACTATTATCCTTGATATGTGGCCTCCAAGATCACAGCAATGAAGAATGGAGATCTATGTGAAGGTAACTTGTATTGGCCATGCTTGGAAGTGGAATTTACCACTTCCACCCATATTCTATTAGCCACATGAACTCTACTGTAGGAATTGAACTGTAAAAAGTCTGGGAAATGTTTCACAGAAAGAAAACTAAATGGATTTGATGAGCACATAGCATTTTACTCTGCCATGATAAACATTTACAAATGTCAATTCCCTTTCTCATTTTTCTTAAATAGTTCATTAGAAAAATCTATAACTTCCCCATCTAATGTTTTTTTTGTATGCACCTCTTTCCACACATCCAGGACCTTGAACATAATAAGGGCCCCAACTGAATAGTTGCTCAAAGAATGTCAAAAGATCGTATAGTACCCATCATGCTTCACTGCAGTAGAGTGAGACTGACTATCTATATGTGTAATTCACTTATGGTCAATAGTAGAGAGGAACAAACTGCCTGGAGTGATTGCTATTCAGTGAGTTTGATGTATACATACAGCTCTCTAGGCCATTTTACCTTCTATTTGTATTCCTTAGTCATTCAATGCAAGTATCTTTTTCTTCTTCAGTAATGAGAACTTATTGCTTTTCAGAGCATAATGTGTTAGATGATGCCCATGTTTGGGCATCATCAGATATTCTTGCGTTCTTCCGGTGGTCCAAGCAGTAAATCTCCAATTCAGCAAACTTTTGTTGAGCTTCAAGTGTATACCATGTGCCAGCAATACAAGGATGCATAAACATGTCCCTTACTCTGAGAAACTGAGTTCAATAATTATAATATGGTGCTGTGATAGAAATATATATCAACAGAAAAGGGTGTGATAAAATTAAAAGTAATAATAATAAAATGGTACATTTTATTTTTAATTAATTTAAGCAAAAAGCCTTATAATATCTATTTTTATTTGAGTTAGCCAAGAAATTGGGAAGAAAAGAGGGCAGTGTCTTATGATAATTTACTTTGCTAAGACCATGGTAGTAAATGTAACATCTTGACTTCTTTTGTATCCCTAAAATTAGATACGTCGAAAGAACTGGATTCAGAAATCTCTCTCGATAGAAGATCAGAAAAAATGGAAGATATCCCAAAACACTGTGAAAATATTCCCTCTTTGGTTGCATTTGAAAATCTCCAAGCAAATGTGACTGATATGATGTTAATCTTGTTAGTGGAGAACCTAAGTGGCCTGTCAAGTGATGATTTTCAAGTAGAAGTAATACGAGATTTTGATGTTGCCATAGTTACCTTTCAAAAATATATAGGTAAGATTAATTGATGCTTCATTTGCCAGTGTTCTATGCACCCACTTTTGGGATTTGGGACATCCAGCTAATGGAATAGCTCTGAAAATTTGACTTTTTCTAGTAGCTAGTAAGAGAGGACTTCAAGTTAATATAGATCTTTTTTTTATTTAAAAGAAAAGCAAATTTGGTTTAAATCCAAATTCTTGTATGTTTAGTAGATCAAACTTTATTGTGTGTGTGTGTGTGTGTGTGTGTGTGTGTGTGTGTGTGTGTGTGAGAGAGAGAGAGAGAGAGAGTACACCCAAATAGAAATCTACAGTCTAAGGTTATTAAAGTGATTCCAAGCAGAGGCGTCAGCATTTTCTCATGTGTTACCTCATTGGGAGAAGTAAATATTGACCTGTATTACCAAATTGGACTTGAAGGTAATAATAATAGCAAATATTCATATATAGTATTACTATAAGTTAGGTATTATGCTAAGGTCTTTACATGCATTAATGGATTTGTTCCTTTCAATAACATTTTGAGATTATTATTATTCATCATTTTACACTTGAGGAGACAGAGGCGCAGAGATGCTAATAAGTGGAATAATTGGATTTAAACTCAGGCAGCACACCTCTGTACAGCCTGTTCTCTTTCCCCTTTAGCATATATTTTCTTAGTACTTTCGTGGTCATCCGCATATACAGGAAGAGTAAGTGCATGTGATGCAGGAAATGAATGCTCATTGAGGTTTGTGTGAGGAGTCTGTGGACAATCTCTGAGATTAGAAGAGCCATCTCCAAAAAGACAAGGAAATTTTCCAATTCCGAGCTCTCACTATTCATAGCCGTGACAGTGGAATGGTTAATTAAGAGCACAGGTCATGAAGTCAAAATTTTAGCTTCACCATTTAACTAATTATCTGAGTTATCTAAGTTACTACCCTCTGTGTGTTTTACTTTCCTCGCCTATAAAATGGGGATAATAATACCTAATTAGAGTTTGTGTGGAGATTAAATGAGATAATGTTTGAAAAACTCTTAACATGGTACCTGAGACATGGGAAGGACTCAATAAAGGGAGCTATTCTATTTTTAAATTTATGATTTCTTATAAAGGTAAAACTAAATGGACTTTTGTTCATTGATCAAAAATCTTGAACACCTACTATGGTTCACTAGTCTAGGTGCTTTGGGTACAGAGATGAGTAATTCTTGGTTCCTGCTCTTGAGGAACTCATATGGGGCAGGGAGGAAATCCATATGTAAATGAATAATGAAGATTCAAGAGGAGAAGCTGCCTCCCTCAGCTGTGAACAGCAAACTGTGGGGAATGGGAGGAAAGGGGACCCAAACAAGGTGGCTTGGTTTTGCCCTGCCTACTTACTCCCTTCTATGAAGTTTATACTCCATAAGAACCAGTCTGTCAAGTCCAAAATACACTATTGTTGTTTCATGCCACTGTTGTTCTCTCTGCCTGAAATGTTTTCTCCCCTTATCTGTCCAGTTAACTCTTCTTCATCCTTCAAAACTCAGATCAGTCACCACTTACTCTGAAAATCCTTAGTCTTCCCACCTCATTTGATCTGACAATAGGCCATTTGTTTGATTTTAAGACTTCCTCCCTCCTGGATGGTAAATGTTCAAGAATTTGTTATATTCATCGCTCTACCCCCAGCTTCTAGCCCAGTGCCTAGTACACTGTGGGCCCATCATCAATATTTGTTGATTTGAAAGAGATAATTGGGCTGAGTCCTGAAGGAGGAATAGGACCAGGATTAAAAAAAATTCGAGAAGGGCACTTCAGGCACAGGAAATTGTATGTACAAAGACAAAAGAGAATGGGTTATCAAAATAATGACTAGTTTTTGTGGCAATATGCAAAATAAAATGGCAGAGAATAACCCAAGGAGATATTTGAAAATTAGTTTGGAGTCAAATGGCCAAGGGCATTGTAAACCTAGCTAAGGAGTGTGAACTCATGGCTGGGGTAATGGGGAGCCACTCACAGACTTTAAAAAGGGGTGAAATAAGATTTGTATTATAAAGAGAAGACTCAAGTGGTGATGTCAAGGAGGGCTGGAGAGGGTTGTGAGCAGAGGCAGGCACACAGCTCAGTGGCAGTAATCCAGGTAAGACATTCATATATGTGTCATTGTTCAGAGACTGGGAGTTTTAGGCATGTAAATTCCCATGTAGGAATTAAAATTTGCAATCTAAAACTTGAGTGCTTAGCTTCCCCCATCTAAATTCATTTTGAGTTTCTTCTGTATAATATACAGACATAATCATAATTTTATGATTGATTGATTTTGTTTTGTAGATACCATGAAATTTGTTGATGATTGTGTCGACCACCATTCAGTGAAACAACTTCAACTTTCTCCAAGACTTCTGGAAGTGACAAAAACAATCAGGGTTGAAAACCTGCCACCTGGTGTTGATGACTATAATTTAAAACATTTATTTGAAAATCCTCAAAATGGAGGGGGAAGAGTTGCCCATATTGAATATTTTCCTGAAGAGAGTTCAGCTCTGATTGAATTTTTTGACAGAAGAGGTAATATTTATTTGCCTTATTTTGTAAACCTGGCATAATCTAATCCATTTTAGTAGATCTTAACAGTTATCAATTGAATTTTGATATATTTTATTTTTTGTTTGCATATTTCGTTGGTAATCCAATTAGTAATCCTGTTCATGTGGGATATGATGCGTAATGAGTGATTCAAACTTTAGAAAACTAATGTCAAGTTTTTGAAAGATATAAGAAGATTCTCTCATGAGTCTTTACCTAAGATGAATTGAAAAACATATAATTTTTACAATCTTGGAAATACTGTATTAAAAAAGAGACGATTTCTTTTTTAGCTGTACACTTGGTAGAAATTCTCAAGTTAATTTCAACAAAGTTAGGTAAACAAATACTCAGAATCACATATAGTTCCTATGAAGTAGCAACACTTCCCCTTTCACGTGTCAGTGTCATCATTCAGAAATGAATAGGGGTGATTTCACATTGTCGGTAGATGCCTACTGGATTGTTCTTTGCAGTGAACCTGTGTAAACCATGTCCAGCTGAACTTTAGGAAAACACTTGTGAGGGTTCTGCGGACATAGATTGCTAAAGCTCTGAGGCATGTGCAAAGTCTGAGGCATGTTGGAGAGTCCACTGATGTTCAGAAGCCAAGGCTGAGGGGTAGGAATTAAGGAGCCAGACTTTGTAGGGAAAGAAGGAACACTGTGCTTGGGGGAGCACTGAAACAGATCATGTGGTATGCCACTCAAGAGAAATTGCTTAATGGGAGCCTCCTTTCAGCTTTTACGAGTTGGAGAAAATGGGGTGAAGGTATGGTTTAGATTAAAATGGAATGAAAGACCTAGTGTTCCTTGGGCAAAAGAACAAAAGGGAATCCTCTTGCATGTTCTTTCTATCTCCTTCAGCCTGGTCTCGGGCGCAGGGGGAGAGTTACATAAAGCTGTCTACCCTAGAAGTTAACCTCCCAGCTTATGGTGGGAGTTGACAACTTTGGGGATTGTGAACAAGTTGAGGGCAGAGGGCAGTTGGGTGTGTCCTCAGAATGCCTAGTTACGTGTGTACAAATAATAATAAGAACTATTTAGTTAAGGTTTATTTTATGCCAGAGTTACACCTGTGAACAGAAGGGCACTCTCAAATTTTCCGTTTCTCTTGGCACCATCTGACTATGTTGACCATGCCTCCTACTCTAACCTCACTCACTCTCTAGTCTCTACTGTCTGAGATACACAGGTTTCCCCTTTCTCTCTCTGGCTTCTCCTTCTTATAATTGTGACTTATATAGCTCTGCAGAGTGCTACAAAGTGCAGTCACAGACATTGCTTTATGGGAATTGCTATTATTGTAATCTCTATTTTACAAATGAAGTAATTGAGGCACAGAAAGGTCAAACAACATGACCAGAGTTACACAGCTAGTAAGTGACAGAGCCAGGATGTCAACCTGGGTAGTCTGGCCTCGTAATTTATGCTCTTAACTGCTCCACTTTTTCCCAATCTCCTGTTTACCTATAATACTTATTTTTCTTGTGGGATATTTCACCGCTTACAGTGGGTTACCAATACTGAGGTAAACTGTAGATAAAGCTGGATTAAGAACAGAATTTATTTAGCAATATTGTATTTTATGTAGATTATTTGAGAGGAATGTTAGGCACTTCACTGTGAAATTATTTGGGTCAACTTCATAAAAACTGATTCATAAAATCTTAAGGAAAGGAACTTTTATTAAACACCTATTGCATATGAGATTTTTTGCTACATTGTCTGTGACAGTATCTCATTGAATCCCCATAATAACCTGCATAGTTAGATATAGTTACTCTTTCTTTACAGAAGAGGAAACAGGATGGAGAACTTACAGCACATTAAGGTGACATCTATGATGTTTCTTGGGTCAGATAGACTCAAGTTCAAATCCTGGCTTTGGTGCTTACTAGCTTTGTGATCTTGGGAAATTACCTTAACTCACCAAATCCTGTTTTCTCATCTACAAAACAGAGCTCATGCTACTACTTACCTCAGAGGAAATGCTGTGAGGGTTAAATGAAATTATATCTGCAAAGTGCTTATTATATGGTGGGTGCTCAGTGTATGTTAGTGGTCACTGGTACTGCCCAGGTTTGGAGCCTATAGGGGACCATGTTGAGAAGTTGAAACCATATGTCTGGACCTCTGAAGGCCATGTTCTTTTTATTATGTCTGCCTCAAGGCCTAGGAGCCAATCATGCACAGGCCAAGTGATTTTTAACATCTTTCCACAAGGATGTTATTTTAATCCAAGCTGTTACTGGAATTCATTTCAATTCCCTTGCTTCTTAGACCCCTTGTACCTTTCTAATAACTAACACAAAATGAAGAGGGGCTTTGGAGAGTACTCCGCCCACCCCCAACACACACACGCACGCACGCGTGCGTATATATCCCACCCTAGGGACTGTCCCAGTAAAAGTGGCAGGTGGAGGATTGTAGCAGGGACAGGAAAGGTAAGGACTTACTGAATCAGAGTCTCTGGGCTGGGCTCTCTGATGACTTTGAGGATGACCGCGGTTTGGACCCCCCGGTAGAGGGGCAAGAGCATGGGCTTTGGGGTCAGACAGACGCTGGCTTGAATCTTAGCTCAGATATTTACATTTCTATATGACCCTATTCAAGTTATCTAACCTTCCATAGCCTCAGCTTTATCATTTGTAAGTAGGGATGATAATAATAGTCTCTACCTCAAGGGGTTGTTGTGAGGATTAAATTAATTAAATATATGTAAAGCACTTAGAATAGTGTCTGACACATGGTAAGCTATGATAATGATTATTGTACTCCTCCCCCTAGAGGTATTAGTGGAATCTAAGTCATCTATGAAGCCTAAAGTTGTGAGACATACAAGAAGCAGCACATTGCATGATTCTTAGGCAAGCTTTGCTTTGAGCACCAAAATATTCTTTACACTGGAGCAAACATGATCCCCTTGCTTGTGACCAAAGTCCTATTTGTTTCTTAACCTGGTGGTGATATATCAGTGTTATCATCAGAAAATAGAATCGACATAACAGAATTTCAACATAGAGTGATCTTGGCTGGAAAGTAGTTATTCCATTCAACAAGGGATACCTATGCAGTGTTATTACACATCAATTTATATTTGAGCACTTTGAGAATAGAGCTGCTTTTTAATAACATGTTGTAACATCAAAGTTCTACAAACATTAGGATGTTTTCCCTCTAGAATAGGAAAGGTTTGTTTTCTTGTTTGCTCTTATTTGAAACATACTACACTGGGATTACTTTATTTTCTCTCTCTCCTTTTAAGTGTTAGGCACCATCATGACCAAGAAACTTGACTTCAATAATATGCCATTGTCTGTGTTCCCATACTATACTTCTTTGGGCACAGCTTTGTATGGAAAGGAGAAGCCTCTGATCAAGCTTCCAGCACCATTTAGAGAATCACTGGATCTTCCTTTACGGAAATTCTTGTACAAAAATAATCACCTGGTTGAAGAGATAAATGAAGAAGTGAGACGTTGTCACTGTGAGCTAACATGGTCCCCACTCAGTGGTGAAGTTACCATCCGACCTGCAGCCACCTTAGTCAATCAAGGAAGACTAAAAATCAAGAACTGGAAGAAGGATGCTTCCACAGCATTCTCTGACATTAGGTCTAGATATAAAGTTACGTCATTTAAAGTGGATCCAATAGTGTGGGACACCATAAAAAACAAGTTAGAAAACGATAGGATTTTGATTGAGTTTGATACACTTTTGGAGATTGTAACCTTAGTGGGGAAATCAGAGGATGTTCAAGACATTGAGCCACAAATCAAGGAATTAATAGAAAGCACCACTCAAAAAATGAAGAGAGAAGAGCAAAGTCTAAAGGCAGAAGTAGCCGTTTCTCCAGCAAAGTATTCTCTTTTGTGCCACAGCGGTATACAGAAGCGTTTCCACACGGAGTACCCAGAGATGGAGATTTATTATGATGAAGTCACTCAACATTTGTGCTTGAAAGGATTCCATGCAGATGTGTATAAAGTAAAGTGTGAAATCCAGGAAAAGGTGTACACCATGGCTCAGAAAAACATTCAGCTTCCGCCTGAGGTTTTCCAGTTTTTGCAACAGGTCGACTGTGCAGAATTCTCGAATTCTCTTTTTATAGCTCAGAAAATCCTTGCAATTTATGAACTAGAGGCTACAACTGTTCTCTTAACCGGCTGTTCTTCTGAAGTCCTATTAGAAGCTGAAAAGCAAATGGTCAGTGGCCTGAATTATAAGCGCATAGACATCGAGGACAGAGGATTTCTTAATGGTAAGAAGTGGAAAGACATCATTCACAATTTGCATAGGAAACGCAATTCTTCCTCAAAGACTGTAATAATCAATGAATTAACTTCAGAAACCACAGCTGCGGTCATCATTGCAGGCTGTGTGAAAGAAGTAAATGACATCTACAGCTTCCTTTTTGACTTTATAGAAAAAAACATGAAAATAGAGAGATTTATTGAAGTAAAGCCTACCTTAGTTATTGATTATTTAAAAGCACAGAAGAAGCAATTCTTGCAAAAGATAAAGCAGGTAAATGTTCAGGTAGATTTCAATCCTGCCAACAAACAAAAAGGCATTTTACTGATTGGCTCAAAGCCTCAAGTCCTGGAGGGAATGAACATCCTCAAGCAAGCCAGGGACTCAGTTTGTGTTCAAAGCATCTGTATTGATAAGCCAGGAGCCAGGCAGCTCTTCCAGGCTAATGAATGGAATTTTAAAAATCAGGTCAGACGGTCATTTGGTTGTTTTATGGAACTACAGCAGAAAGAAGAAAAGAAGGAGGGAGGCGGTGCTGATGGACAGAAGTGCTTCTCCCGGGCAGACTTGGCCCCTGGAGTCTCGCTGATTGTACAGCAGGGCGATTTGACCCAGTTTCCTGTCGAAGTGGTGGTGAATTCGGCAAATGAGGCTCTCCAGCACAATGGCGGTCTTTCCGCTGCTCTTTTGAAAGCAGCTGGCCGTGAACTCCAAGCAGACTGTGACCAGATAGTGAAGAAAAAAGGCAAGATCCCACCTGGCCGTGCTACCATCTCGAAAGCAGGAAAGCTCCCCTACCGTCACGTGATCCATGCAGTAGGGCCGAAGTGGAAGGGAAGCGATGCCCAAGAGTGTGTGTTCCTGTTAAAGAGGGCTGTGGAAGAAAGTCTCCATTTGGCTGAAAAACACCAGTACAGATCCATAGCCATCCCTGCCATTGGTTCTGGAACCTTTGGCTTTCCTTTACCCCAGTGTGTGAACACCATTGTTTTGGCCATCAAGGAAAACTTCCAGTATAACTGGGAAGGACGCACCTTGAAAGAGGTTTACCTTGTGGATACAGCTGAGACGACTGTTGAGGCCTTTGCTGAAGCTGTGAAAACTGTATTTAAAAACACTCTGTCTGAAACTGCTTCCCCGCCCAGTTTACCAGCAGCAGTCCAGCTCAGCTTGAGAATAGATCATGGGAACAGACACATGCTGTTGTGCCCAGGAGGCCTGAAGATCCAGTTGTTGAAAGGAGAAGTGCAAAATGCTACGGTGAGTGTCCCTATGTACGGAACACCCACCAAGGTGCTGCAACTCCAGTTAGCCTGTTGCCAAAGGAAGATTAGGGAGAGAATCAAGGGGGAGAATCCCATGCCCTCCATGGCCTGGAAACAGGTTTCCTTAAAAAATTGGGCTACTTCACCATGGCATTTACTGAAAGAGATTGGCCAGTTATGTGGGAACTGGATGTGTATTCAGATCACTAGGTTTCCAGTGAAAATCCTCACGTTTATAAGGATCTCTGTCCTTTTTCAGTGCCTTCACGCCTGTCACATTTTGATTAACCTAAGGTTAATTTCCTGTCAAATTTACTGATAGCAGATGCTGAAAAATTAGAGCATAGGATGGGGACAGAGGACAGTAATCTTGTCAATGAACCTGAACAAGGGTAAGCAGGGGGCCTCCAACACCAGTAAGAAAATATGGGAAGGAAAGTAGAGTGGACCTGGGAAGGGTCTGGGTAATATGCAGGGATAACTCTTGTAGGTCTGCTAGGGGGTGACATGTTTTCAAAAAATATGTATAACAACCTTTGCAACACAGGCTCTAACTAAATGGGAACAGCAGTCCTGGAAGCCCCTGCTGTGCCAGCTGTTACTTCTTTCATTTGGGGATTGTGGGCAGGCCTGAGGAAGGGATTCCTAGGGAAGGCCATTTGCATATCTCCTTTGGAGAAATGTCTATTTAGATCCTTTGCCTACTTTTAAATTGGGTTCTTTTTTATTACTGAATTTTTAGAGTTCTTTATATATTTTGGATACAGGTCCCTTACCAGTTATATAATTTGCAAATATTTTCTCCTATTCTGTGAGTCATCCTCCTTATATAATAACTTTAAATAATAATTACAAGAATAACAGCTAACATTGATTATTTAGTATGTGCCAGGCATTATGCTAAGTGCATTTTCTCATTCAATGCCATGAGGTAGATTTCAGGATTATTATTCTTCTCACTTCACAGATGAAGGAATGAGATTTAGAGGGGTTAAATAATTTGCCCACACCCCACTGTTAGCAAATGGTGGAGCCAGGATTGGAATTTGTTCAGGCTCTTCACCATTGCACTATTTCAAAATATTAAAAATAATTTTGTTTCTCATTTAAAAAAAACACACAAATAAACAGGAAACTTTTGACCAAGAGTCAGTAATTAGAATGGGTCCCATTCCTTGTCTACCTTGAACAATGAATAGTAAGACATTCCTTCTATTCCTTTTATTCCCATAGATGTTTTGGCTTCTGATGCCACAGTACCTGCTATGCGTTGCTCCTTAGTGACTCATGCAGGGCAGCTTTGAAAATCACTTGGTCATGTGCCTTCTCTCTTCTACTGAGGTCTTAATCTAGCCAATTAACCTGCTCACATTAACTGACCTGGTGAAAAGCTTCCATGGCCACTCGCTATCTGTGGGGAAGTCCAGCTGGCCTGGCACTCGAAGCCCTCTTCCGTCTACCCCCAGTGAAAACATTTCTAGTCTGGCTTGAAGCATTTTACTGCAGAAGCTCTCTATGAGGTCAAGCTAATCTGCTCACTGCTCACAACCTACCATGCATATTCATGCCGTTCCCCCTTCTGAGTGACTTTCCTGTCTCTCTCTGTCTGCCTCACTATTCCCAGGTCTTAGACTCCACATCACCCCCCACCCCACCCCACCCCCGTGTCTTCATTAGCCGCCGAAGGCACTCCCTCTGGACTACCTCAGTGATCCCATACCATTTACACATTGCTTTTTGTCACCTCTCTTTTGTCCTGGAGTGTTATTTGGTATTTTAAATCTCTGAAAACTTAATCATCTTGTTGTTACCCATTGTGCCAAGTCTGGGGGCTCAAATACAGCATTCCTTGATGAACGCTTTTTTATTAGAATTTGAAGCAAATTGTTGGTTTTGTCTTTAAGGCCGATGTTATCGTCAACTCCATTCCCTCAGATCTTGCACTTAATAAAGGGCCCCTTTCTCAAGCCCTCTTGGAAAAAGCTGGGCCAAAGCTCCAGGAAGAATTGAACACAACCGGACAAGGAGTGGCTGTTGATGTGGGCACAGTTCTCCAAACCAGTGGTTGCAATCTGCATTGCCACCTTGTGCTTCATGCGGTGGCTCCGAGCTGGGAAAATGGCAGCACATCTTCACGGAAGGTGGGGCCTGGTTTTAAATTCTCCAGGAAATTGGGTACCTCTTTGGACTCCTTTCAGGATAATATAGATTGAACCCTGTCTGTTTCTCTTCTGTAATAACGCCACATCCTTGGCAGGTTCCGCCATTATGGCTCTTTCTTTCAGCTGTAGCTGACTTCTCCTGAAGACTACTTAACAATATAAATTAATTATAGTGCTCAATCATTGGGGGTCAGGAAAGACTTACTGAAGATAACATATCTTTTGTGAAGAACACAAGGCAAGGGCATGAAGAATAGAAGAGTGTGAGGGATGGGAACAGTAGTTGCTTTGCTTCTTTCCTTCATTGCTGAGTGAGTTTGAATCTTTTTGGAGGGTTTCTCACATTCTCTTCCTCATCTATTCCTCTATTTTTCTTCCCTCCTCTGCCTGCCCTTAACCTGCCTTTTGTTTAAAGCAAAAAAGGAGTAGACAGAGATCACGAAGTTACTAAATTCTTATTTATTTATTTATTTTTGTCCTAACTCCCATTTCTAGGCAAAATGTATAAGGATATGCTTTGTATTTTTCAGATCATGGAAGACATAATCAGAGAATGTCTGGCAATCACTGAAGGATTGTCCTTAAAATCAATTGCATTTCCAGCCATAGGAACAGGAAATTTGGGGTTTCCTAAAACTGTTTTTGCTGAATTAATCATTTCAGAAGTGTTCAAATTTAGTAGCAATTATCAACCAACAACTTTACAAGAGGTTTGCTTTCTCCTGCACCCGAATGATCTTGGAAATATTCAGGTACAGCTTCACTCATTTCTGGTTATTTTGGCAGCTGACCCTTAATGGTCTCCAATGTCTTCGTCATCTGATAGATTGTTTCTTTCATGTATTTCCCATACAGGAAAGTAAAAGAGTAGTAGACTAGTTGAAGCATGGCAAATTTCAAGCAAGTGTATGGATATAGAAAAAATAACTTCTTATTAAGGAAAATTTCAACCATATGCAAAAGCAGACAAAACAGTGTAATAAACTCCCTTGTACCCATCACTCATCTTCACAATTATTAACCTATGGCCAATATGTTTCACTCTATCTCCATTTATTTTCCTTCCTCCTGTATTATTTTGAAGCAAATTCCAGATGTACATTTTACCCATGAACAATTCAGTATGTATTTTAGACATTAGAATTCTTTTTAAAAAGTAACATAACTACAACACTATTTCACACATAAAAGAAATTGACAATCACTTCTTTACTACATTCATTATCAAGTCAGTGTTCAAATTTTCAACTGTTTCATAAATGTTTTGTTTTTACAGCTTGTTTGTTTAATCAGAATCCAAATCAGGCCCATATATTGCAATGGAGTTGACATATTCCTTAACCCTTTTTTAATCTACAGGATTCCTTTCCATATGAACACAGAATTTTTAATAAATAATAAAAGCACAGTTGTTGTCCTATGTGTAGGAGATTGTCAGGATGAGATAAAACTGAAGAGTGTAGAATGAACTCAGCACATCCCCATAGGAATAGGAAGGCTGGGACCAGAAATACCAGAACCACCTTCAGTCATAGAGAGTCTATCGACCATCTCATATTTGCTGAACATCAGCTATGGGTGAGCCACTGGACTCAATATCACGGGAGGACAAGAGGCATTTAATAAGAGGCCATATCCTTGCCCTCCAAGTCCTCAGAGTCCAGTAGAGTAAATGACATTAAATGTTTGAAAAGTTCCATAATGATGCAAGAATTAAACAGATCAAGGCTAGCAACCCAGAAAATGTCCATGGATCATTGGACCATCCGAATTTTTAGGTCATACTTAATTTTTTTCTGGATCTAGACACTACCTTTACATTCTAATCTAAATTCTAATCAGACAGCCAAACCAACCAAGCAAAATATGTAGTCCATTTAATTGGTCTGCATCACTATAGTAATATCTGGTCAATAAATGTTTTATGAACGACCTCCCTAGACTTGCATTATACAAGGTAGTATGGATCATGGAATGGGTATGCAGCACATATTTCCTCCTATAAATCATAATTACTTTGGGAGCTAAGATTTATACACATAAAATGAACCAAATTAGAGACATAAAGTGCTGAAGAGTTTTTGAATGACAGAATAGGGGAGCGAGTCCTGTGACATGGACCTGAACCTTCAAATCTCACTATTCCTGTGCAACCCCAGGCCCTATTTTCTTTCTGAAAAACTCAAGAGTCCTCTGCAAATATTCTGTAAAAGGATTAGTTTCTATAGACGCCTTTATTACCATTGGAAACAGTGTTGATGCTCGACAGATGGCCGTGATATTTTTTCCTTTTAAAACTTTTAAAGACATTTAAACTTTGGTTATCTTCGTACAAAAATCAACAAAACTTATTGAGATATTTATAAGTGGACACTGTAACAGAGGTTGCAAAACAGCAGCCCATGGTCTGAACATGGTCTAAATCTGCTTTATTTGGACTATTTTTTAAAAATTTGAATCAGTTGCTAACATTGAAAACTCAAACATTTCACATAAAACTCCAGATGTCCACTATAGCCTAAAAAGTCAAACATGCTGGCACATTGGGCATGGATATCTGCCTGAACAGTTTGTGGTGGCTGAGTGGCAGGTGCTGTGTAGTCCTCCAGAGTCACAACAGTCCAGCTTCCACTTGTAGCATACCTGCCTGGCCCCTGGAGGTCTATGAGCCTGACACCTTGGCGCTGTAGTCTCTGCTGGTCCCTCTGCCTTGATTGTATCAGCCTTTTAGCCAAGGTTTTACTTGTTTTTTTTCCAACAAAATTCTCTGTTGCTTGTTTACAAGGAGGAAGAAAGTTATGATTTGGAGGTGTCACTACCAGGCAAAGAAATGGAATTCACAGGTTCATTAACCCTAAAATACACCAGTCTCTGGCTCCAAAAAGCAATACTCCCCTACCCATTCCTCTCCTGATACAAATAAGAAGTTAAAAATCAAAGCATTGTGATTATCTTTCTCTTAACACTATATTTTTAACAACTGGAAAGTTATTTGCTCTTACTGATAATGAAAGTAATACATGTTCATTGTAGAAACTTTGAATAATACAAAATGTATAAATTCTTTTTTTGGTCGTATTTCATTCCAGCCTTCTTCTATACATGTGTACTTTATAAAGTGGTGTAATGTAATTAATGTAATTAATGTTGTTCTTCTTTCATTTAATAATATAAAATAAGTATTTCCCTATTCCAATAGTCTTTGAAAATGCAATTCTAAATGGCTGCTAAATATTTTAACAGGTGAATACACTAAAATTTATTTAACCATTTCCTTGTTGGGTTTTAAACTGTTACATTTTTTCTTGATTATCGATAGCACTGTAATGAATATTTTTGTATTTATATCATTGTTTACATTGTTGATAATTTTCATAGTATGCATTTATAGAAATAATATATGTATTTTCATAACTTAAAAATCTATAATGATAATAAATAATACTTTGAGAATTGTTCTCTCCTAAATATTTGTGCATGTAGGATCAAAAGCCATGATGAATCAAATTCATTCATCTACTGAGAATTGTAGTAGTCAAAACTGTCATTGTATTTTCAGGCATTTTCAGATGAATTTGACAGAAGGGCTAATGGAAATTTCATCAGTGACAAAATCCCCAAGGCTGAAAATACACAAGGTTCAGTAAAGCTTTTAAATTGAGAAATTATTTCAAATTGCTAAATAACTATTTAGTGATAAGTGAAAGATGGTAGTGATGATTCTTATGAAAAAATAACTTTGATGAAAAAGATATTAAATTACATTTCATGTATAATACCTGAGCATGCAAGACACTGGCCATGTTTGTGTGATTTAGAATGAAAGAGTAGGCAGGCCAAGTTAGATAATCCGTACAATGGGTTTTTAAGTAGTGATGAGGCTATTTTCTAAGAATGATGTAACATGTGTTTTTGGAAATAGATACATTTAAAGAGACAATACCAACAAAATGCTTCTTCTCTGTCAAATTTGCTGCTGTATATTTGAGTTTATCCTATCTGGAGTTTGCCGAGGCTTCTTGAATCTGAATATGTGTGTCTTCCATCAAATTTGAGGATTTTTCAGTCATTTCTTCAAATATTTTCCCTGCACTGATCTTTTTCTCCTCTCCTTCTGGTGCTCCAATAACATAACTATTAGGCCTCTTAATAGTGTCCTACTGGTCCCTGAGGATCTGTTCTTTTTTCTTTTCTTTTCTTTCCTTTTTTTTCTATTACAGCTTTATTATAAAAGATGCAGATCAGGAACAGACAAGTGAAAAGATATACCTTGCTCTGTATATCTCACGCAGGGAGATGATACAGAGTTTCCATACCTTCTCTTTTGTGGAACCTGGGCATGCCTCCATCCCTGCACATCAATGTGTCCAGATTTTATTGGGATTGCAATTATGTAGGCATAATTACTTAAACCAGTTGAACTCAATCTTCAGTTCCCCTCCACTTCCTGAAGGTCAGGCTGGCCCAAATATCCAATCATCTAATCACACGGTCCATCTTTCTGGTGACTAACACCCATCATGAAGCAACCTAAGGACCCACAATGAGTTATCTCATTAGCATAAAAAACACTCCTATCACTCAGGAAATTCCAAGAGTTCTTGAAGCTCTGTGCCAGGAGCCAGGGACAAAGACCAGATACTCGTATATTCTCCATTATATCACACAACAATATCCAATTTATATTTGCCCATGTACTTTTAGTTGAGATCTTTATTTCTTCATACAGCATTGAATTACCGTCTAGTGTCCTTTTACCTCGAGAACTTCCTGTAGCATTTCTTGCAGGCCAGATCTACTGGTAAGGAACTCCCTCAGCTTTCGCTTGTTTGGAAATGTCTTAAATTCTCCCTCATTTTTGAAGGACAGTTTTACCAGATGTAGAATTCTTAG